CCATTGTAGGTGTCTTAAGTTGAAATCACCCAAAAACAAGATGTGTGGGACTGGGGTTGGAAAATTTTCTGGACAGTGGTCAATTTTCAAAAGCTGTTCCCTGAATTGTTGGGAAGTTGTATCTTGTGGCTTGTATGCAACCACACTGATAAGGTTTTGGTTTTCAGTCCTTACTATCAAAACTTCAACTACATCATTTGTAGTGTTTAGCAATTCAGAGCAAATGAGCGACTCCGTGACATACAGGCCGATCCTCCCTTCTGTCGCACCTGAATAAGTTATAACTTGGGATCCATATTTCGCTATCAAAGTGATCCTTTATTGGGTCTCTGCCGAAAGCTGCAAACTTTGCATTAGACCCCTGTGAGGAGTCCACTGATGAATGTATTGGTTTATTAGTTAATGGTTTAGACCTGTATATTTTCAAATACAATTGTCTATTGATGGTATGTAGGGGGACTTTATTTGCCGCAGTAATGTGTGTGTCCTGAGTGAGGTCACTGACTGTTCTCCTGACACCATATGATCCAAGGTGCTGTAGTATTTTTTTGGCATTTCCTGCCAGTTTTTGTTCTTTCTGACCAAAAAGGGTCTGTATGAGAGGTTTGGACTACCCTGGTGTATTGTAAGGTCTGTGTGTAATCTGTACTTTCTTGTCCCTTTGAAATATTTTACCAGGGTGAAATAGTTTACAAGAAGAATAGCATTTTCCTTTGATCACGAGGTCGCGGCATTGTTTTGGATGGTCAAAATTGCACATCCCACCTGTTTTTCCAGATATTTCATACCTACAGATACCCAAGGCATAGAATCTGCACAGATTTGATTTCTGTTTGCCAGGATTTTTTTTGTGGCTGAGTTCCCTACTTGTGCAGTTTTTCTGACTCCCCACTATCTGCAACACCTGTACTAGCAGTAGTACCACCACCAGTTATTACTGGTAATGTATCAACACTATTCCCCATAGCGTTATCCCTCTTCTTTTTCCATCTCCAGTAGTACTACTATTTTGTATTTCTGGAAGTCGTATGTCTTGGTCTTTACCTGTTTCTTCAGTACCAATAGCACTATCTACATCTTCTGCACTGTCTTGTATTTCTATATCTTTACAGGTACTGTCTTCCTAGACAGCACCAGGATGACAGCTCCAGCTGACCCACTCTCTTTACTTTCCCAGCTGTCATATAAGATTGTCAAATTGTCCAAAAAGAATATTTTTTTTGTTAGTGTTTCTGTCTTTTAGTACATATGAAATTTTCTCCCACTGTTTCTGTCACTCTGGCAGACACAAGAACATTTCCCTGTTTTAATATCAGTAGTGGTAAATTGCTGGATATTTGCACATGAACCATGACACCATTTCTTGCAGAAATAACGTTCTGCACTATTAATACTTTGCTTGGAACTATTGTTGGTGTACACAGGTTTTCATGTTGGTAATTTATTTACGAATGTTGGATATATGTAATGTTTTATAGTTTATTTATAGTTTCAATGCCATGAACATCAACATTACCTCTGGTACACTTGACAGATCTAGGTAGGCTAGCTGGTGTAAAAGTGCACTAAAAGAAGTTGGTTTAGAAAGACACGTAAGCAAACACTATGACATATTTATTGGAAAACGTTTCGGCCCTGGGACCTTGATCACTTCTGACATACAGAGGTAGAAAGACATTATAGGCAGAGAGTGAGGTGTGAGTGACACATGGTGACCTGAAGAATGTCATGTTGGAATGAGGATGTGTAGACGATGAAATCATGTGACTCCTGTGTTGTTGGGTTGCTGGTGCTTAAGTATCATGTATGCTAATGTTTTTGAAATTTTGTGGTTTCCAGTGTTACATTCTATAGTGTCGGCGACGGTGATTAGTGAGGCTTCTAGGCACCGTTGGCGTCTGAGGTCTGGTTCGATGAGAACGCGTTGTGCCTCATTCCAGTTCATCAAATGCCCCGTGGAGCCTCTGTGGAGGACACATGTGTACCTTAAATCGATTTAAGCTACTCAAGTCCCAATATGACTCAGTTTTTAGCAAGCTGCTAACCAGACTGAGAGTTGAAGATCAAAATTAATTTTTTATAAGAGATCCACAGAATTTGGTTAACACAAGCCTATCTGATGTTATCCTGACACCAAATGACTTCGAACAGGCGATAAACGACATGCCCATGCACTCTGCCCCAGGGCCAGACTCATGGAACTCCGTGTTCATCAAGAACTGCAAGAAGCCCCTATCACGAGCTTTTACCATCCTATGGAGAGGGAGCATGAACACAGTTACTAAAAACAACAGACATAGCCCCACTTCACAAAGGGGGCAGTAAAGCAATAGCAAAGAACTACAGACTGATAGCATTAACATCCCATATCATAAAAATCTTTGAAAGGGTCCTAAGAAGCAAGATTGCCAACCATCTAGATACCCATCAGTTACACAACCCAGGGCAACATGGGTTTAGAGCAGGTCGCTCCTGTCTGTCTCAACTACTGGATCACTATGACAAGGTCCTAGATGCACTAGAAGACAAAAAGAATGCAGATGTAACATATACAGACTTTGCAAAAGCCTTCGACAAGTGTGACCATGGCGTAATAGCGCACAAAATGCGTGCTAAAGGAATAACAGGAAAAGTTGGTAGATGGATCTATAATTTCCTCACAAACAGAACACAAAGAGTAGTCAACAGAGTAAAGTCCGAGGCGGCTACGGTGAAAAGCTCTGTCCCACAAGGCACAGTACTCGCTCTATCTTGTTTTCATCCTCATATCTGACATAGACAAGGATGTCAGCCACAGCACCGTGCCTTCCTTTGCAGATGACACCCGAATCTGCATGACAGTGTCTTCCATTGCAGACACTGCAAGGCTCCAGGCGGACATCAACCAAATCTTTCAGTGGGCTGCAGAAAACAATATGAAGTTCAACGATGAGAAATTTCAATTACTCCGATATGGCAAACATGAGGAAATTAAAACTTCATCAGAGTACAAAACAAATTCCGGCCACAAAATAGAGCGAAAAACCAACGTCAAAGACCTGGGAGTGATCATGTCGGAGGATCTCACCTTCAAGGACCATAACATTGTATCAATCGCATCTGCTAGAAAAATGACAGGATGGATAATGAGAACCTTCAAAACTAGGGATGCCAAACCCATGATGACACTTCAGGTCGCTTGTTCTATCTAGGCTGGAATATTGCTGCACACTAACAGCACCTTTCAAGGCAGGTGAAATTCCTGACCTAGAAAATGTACAGAGAACCTTCACGGCGCGCATTACTGAGATAAAACACCTCAATTACTGGGAGCGCTTGAAGTTCCTGAACCTGTACTCCCTGGAACGCAGGCGGGAGAGATACATGATTATATACACATGGAAAATCCTAGAGGGACTAGTACCGAACTTGCACACAAAAATCACTCACTACGAAAGCAAAAGACTCGGCAGACGATGCAACATCTCCCCAATGAAAAGCAGGGGTGTCACTAGCACGTTAAGAGACAATACAATAAGTGTCAGGGGCCTGAGACTGTTCAACTACCTCCCAGCGTACATATGGGGGATTACCAATACACCCCTGACTGTCTTCAAGCAGGCACTGGACAAGCACCTTAAGTCGGTACCTGACCAGCCGGGCTGTGGCTTGTATGTTGGAATGGGTGCAGCCAGCAGTAACAGCCTGGTTGATCAGGCCCTGATCCACCAGGAGGCCTGGTCACAGACCGGGCCGCGGGGGCGTTGACCCCCGGAACTCTCTCCAGGTATACTCCAGGTAAACATGATACTTAAGCACCACCAACCCAACAACACAGGAGTCACATGATTTCATCGTCTACCCGTCCTCATCCCAACATGACATTCCTCAGGTCACCATGTGTCACTCACACCTCACTCTCTCCCTGTATATATGTCTTTCTACCTCTATATGTTAGAAGTGATCAAGGTCCCAGGACCGAAACGTTTTCTAGTAAATGTGTCATAGTGTTTGTTTACGTGTCTTTCTAAACCAACTTGTTGGTATTTATAACCAAGGTTTGTACTAAGAGAAGTGTTCGACTGTGACCGCTGGCAACTTTTACAACCTTCGTGATCTGAGGCTAGTATATATCACTGCTTATATAATGATTTGTAATAATAATAATAATAATAATAATAATAATAATAATAATCTTTATTTCTACAAGTACTTGTACAAGGTATACAGTCCTAGCTGAATCAATAACATACTACTATATAGAAAGTCACTTGTTATGCTGAGCATTTCCCGCAAATTATATCAGTTTTGTCCCAGGATGCGACCCACACCAGTCCACTAACACCCAGGTACCTATTTTATTGCTAGGTGAACATGGACAGCAGGTGTTTTATGGAAACACATCCTAATGTTTCTACCCGTACCGGGGATCGAACCCCGGACCTCAGTGTGTGAGCTGAGTGTGCTACTAATCAAATATCAACTTAGCTTTCACTGCACACTCTGCTACATGTTTACTTGTGGTGCACTTGCGTGTTGACTGTACGTGTGACCGCTGGCAGTTCTTTTACACCCTGGCTGGTTTGATATTATTTAGTCTGTCGCTTCCCTTCACTTTATCGTATTTCCACAAATTGTACACTATGGTATCACTATATTTTTACACTAAGGTAGGCTAACGTTTGTCGGAAATTCCATTGTTCCATTGCTTGTAGTACCCAATGTTTGAGTGTTATCCTAGGTTATCCTAGGTTCTGTACACATATGCTACTATGTATGATAATCTATGTAACTGTATTTGTGTATACCTGAATAAACTTACAAAACTTACACAAACCTGAAGCTAAAACTTGTAGTTTCAGTAATTTACGTCTAACTGTAATGCCAAGATTTTCGCGTAATATCGAGATTTCGCTTATACATAGCGTAGTATTAAAATTGGTTGTAATTTTACAGTCGCATTGCTGCAGAATCTTAAGAGTGTGACGTCTAGTTTTAAGGAAGGTTGACTGTGTTTGCAGGTGCTTTTGGTAGTGCTGTGTTGTACCGTCGCAAGGAAGATGAAGTAATGGTTATCATCAAGGAGATCAACATGCTGGAACTCTCAGCTTCTGAGCGTCAGATGGCTCTCAACGAGGTTAATGTTCTGGCAATGTTGGACCATCCTAACATTATCAGGTTAGTGAGGTATGGTAGGACTCGATCCTTCATACAGTAATTAAGAATAAACTTATGCAGCGGCTTGGCTTCCAGTAAACAAATGCACTTCTACTTGTTTATAATGTTGTATTTACTAGCTATTGTGTTTATTATTGATGTTTTCTTGCAGCTACATGGACAGCTTCGAGAGGGACACAGTGTTGTGTATAGAGATGGAGTACGCTGATGGTGGCAGCCTGGCTCAGTACCTCACACAGAGAGTCAAGCGTATTGATGAACTGGAGATTCTTATCTTGTTCCACCAGATAGTCTCTGCTCTCTCTTACATGCATCAACACCACATTCTACACAGGTGGGAACATCATTATATGTTATCCCTCTGGAAGTATCACACTTGTAATTATTCATATAAGAGTCAGTGCTGGATCAGCCGGGATGTGATTCGTACGTTGGACTACGTGCGGCCAGCAGTAACAGCCTGGTTGATCAGGCCCTGATCCACCGGGAGGCCCGGTCGTGGACCGGGCCGCGGGGGCGTTGATCCCCGGAATAACCTCCAGGTAGTGTTGGATCACCCATACTGCTTTAATGCTTATTTAAAACAAAATACTTCATTGGCCATCGCCTACCAAGGCAGACTGATCCACTTTTTCAGTATAATAATTAATAATTATAACAATAATAATAAATTTGCTGATGACTCGAAAATTAGGCTGAACTACTTATTTGGATGTGGATACGCTTCAGTATCTGGAAAATTTGAATAAATTAAGTAACAGATGAAATTCAGTATGGGAAACTGCTAATATTAGGAAGACAGGTGGTGCTCTGATTGGCCTGTGGCTCTGAATCTGCACTCTCTCGAAAGGCGTAGAATTAGGGGGGATATGATCGAGGTGTATAAATGGAAAATAGGAATAAATAAAGGGGATGTAAATAGCGTGATGAAAATTTCCAGCCAAGACAGGACTCGCAGCAATGGTTTCAAGTTGGAAAAATTCAGATTCAGGAAGGATATAGGAAAGCACTGGTTTGGTAATAGAGTTGTGGATGAGTGGAACAAACTCCCGAGTACAGTTATTGAGGCTAAAACCTTGTGTAGTTTTAAAAATAGGTTAGATAAATACATGAGTGGGTGTGGGTGGGTGTGAGTTGGACCTGACTAGCTTGTGCTGCTGGGTCTGGTGCCGTGCTCCTTCTTTGAGTAGAGATGACCAGACTGGGTGGGTCATTGGGCTAATCCGTGGGGGGGGGGGTCATTGGTCTAATCCAGGGGGGACATGGACCTGCTCCGCATGGGTCAGTAGGCCTGTTGTAGTGTTCCTTCTTTCTTATGTTCTTATGTAAATCAGCAACTCCCAACTGAGAACAGCAAGGAACAAGGCAAACCAAATAGAAATAAATGTCTTTACTGGTGTATTCCTTCATCACAATATGTATAAATATGTAGAGAGAGTATATAACAATGGTGTGGATCAAGTAAGAGCCACTGTCAGCACATTACTCACAACCAGAGATGGTGGCAGTCTGACAGCTCTGATAGTTACCTTGAAGACTGAAGACGTCACTTTTGTGGAATTCGCGGGCACTCACGTGATTGGTTGTTTTTGAACCGATAATAGCAGTGGGGAACCCAGAACTGCTACACTCTGAATTACTAGTTCACTGGAGTACTTGCCTCAATGGTTGTCACACACGTTGAATCAAATATAACATATCTAAACGCACGCCATACCTAATCCACAGGAGTGACAATAACAATGGCATTTATAGACTAAAATAACACTGTGTAGAACTTGATCATGAATAAAGTGAAGATTTGGGAGTAAGTATAAATATAAAGGTGAGACGGCAGTGTCTTGGCTTATATAATGAAGCTAGCAAATTAATAGGAAGTAGTGTAGATACCAGGACTCCAGAGATCATACCACAGCACTGTACACCACTGGTAAGACCTCACGTTATGCAGCTCAGTTCTGGTCTCCGTACTACAGAATGAATGAAAATTAACTGGAGAACAGAGAGGGATGAAAAAATTAATCCATTGTATAGGGAGCCTTGAACGTCCACTCTTCTGAGACATGCAGACTGAGAGAAGATATAATTGAACTTTACAAGTGTAAAATGCATAAATAAGAGAGATATAATATATTGCTAAGGATATTTAATCAATAAAGAACCCAAAATAATGAATTCAAGTTGGATATATTTAGATTTTGAAAGGATATATGAAAATATTGGCTTGGCAGTAGAGTTTTAGATGAGTGGAACAATGTGTCAAGTGAGGTAACTGAATCTAATAGCTTGGATAGGATTCATATAGCGCAGATAAAATATATATGAGTGAGAAGAGGTGAATCTGATAATGACGTGCCTAGAGTGGGCCAGTAGGCCTACTGCAATGCTTCGCCAGTCTAATATTCTTATAATCAATAATAATAATAATAATCCTGTGAGTTATATCACTGTATTTGTGATAATATCTTAGTTTTCCTGTAGTAGTTATTATTGTAATCACCTGTTAGTTACTCCAAGTGATTCTTGGAGTCTTCTGAATCACTCTCATTTACTCCTTTCATTACTTCCCTTCCTTTCTCACTCGTCCCTCCCCCCCTCTCTCTCTCTCACTCTCTCTCTCTCTCTCTCTCTCCTCTCTCTCTCTCTCTCTCTCTCTCTCTCCTCCCTCCTCCCTCTCCCCTCCCTCCCCCTCTCCTCCCTCCCTCCCTCCCTCCCTCCCTCCCTCCCTCCCTCACTGCTTCTGACGTCTCCTACAGGGACCTGAAGACAGCCAACATCTTCCTGACGAAGCAAGGTGTGGTCAAGGTTGGTGACTTTGGTATTAGCAAGATGATGAACACTCGCTCAGCCCACGCCCATACTGTGCTTGGTACACCATACTACATCAGTCCAGAGATGGTGAGTGGTCCTGCTGAACGGTGAGTGGTGGTGCTGCTGGATGATGAGCGGTGCTGCTGGATGGTGAGTGGTCCTGCTGAACGGTGAGTGGTGCTGCTGGATGATGAGCGGTGCTGCTGGATGGTGAGTGTTGCTGCTGGATGGTGAGTGGTGCTGCTGGATGGTGAGTGGTTCTGCTGAACGGTGAGTGTGTGCTGCTGGTGATGAGCGTGCTGCTGATGGTGAGTGTTGCTGCTGGATGGTGAGTGGTGGTGCTGGATGATGAGCGGTGCTGCTGGATGGTGAGTGTTGCTGCTGGATGGTGAGTGGTGCTGCTGGATGGTGAGTGGTCCTGCTGAACGGTGAGTGGTGCTGCTGGATGATGAGCGGTGCTGCTGGATGGTGAGTGGTCCTGCTGAACGGTGAGTGGTGCTGCTGAACGGTGAGTGGTGCTGCTGGATGATGAGCGGTGCTGCTGGATGGTGAGTGGTCCTGCTGAACGGTGAGTGGTGGTGCTGGATGATGAGCGGTGCTGCTGGATGGTGAGTGTTGCTGCTGGATGGTGAGTGGTCCTGCTGGATGGTGAGTGGTCCTGCTGAACGGTGAGTGGTCCTGCTGAACGGTGAGTGGTGGTGCTGCTGGATGATGAGCGGTGCTGCTGGATGGTGAGTGGTCCTGCTGAACGGTGAGTGTGGTGCTGGATGATGAGCGGTGCTGCTGATGGTGAGTGGTCCTGCTGACGGTGAGTGGTGGTGCTGGTGTGAGTGGTTCTGCTGAACGGTGAGTGGTGGTGCTGCTGGATGGTGAGTGGTGCTGTTGGATGGTGAGTGGTCCTGCTGAACGGTGAGTGGTGGTGCTGCTGGATGTGAGTGGTGCTGCGGATGGAGAGTGGTGGTGCTGGATGATGAGCGGTGCTGCTGGATGGTGAGTGTTGCTGCTGGATGGTGAGTGGTGCTGCTGAACGGTGAGTGGTGGTGCTGGATGATGAGCGGTGCTGCTGGATGGTGAGTGGTCCTGCTGAACGGTGAGTGGTGGTGCTGGATGATGAGCGGTGCTGCTGGATGGTGAGTGGTGCTGCTGGATGATGAGCGGTGCTGCTGGATGGTGAGTGGTCCTGCTGAACGGTGAGTGGTGGTGCTGGATGATGAGCGGTGCTGCTGGATGGTGAGTGTTGCTGCTGGATGGTGAGTGGTCCTGCTGAACGGTGAGTGGTGGTGCTGGATGATGAGCGGTGCTGCTGGATGGTGAGTGTTGCTGCTGGATGGTGAGTGGTCCTGCTGAACGGTGAGTGGTGGTGCTGGATGATGAGCGGTGCTGCTGGATGGTGATGGTGCGCTGGATGATGAGCGGTGCTGCTGGAAGGTGAGTGTCTGCTGAACGTGAGTGTGGTGCTGGATGATGAGCGTGCTGCTGGATGGTGAGGTTGCTGCTGGATGGTGAGTGGTCCTGCTGAACGATGAGTGGTGGTGCTGGATGATGAGCGGTGCTGCTGGATGGTGAGTGGTCCTGCTGAACGGTGAGTGGTGGTGCTGGATGATGAGCGGTGCTGCTGGATGGTGAGTGGTCCTGCTGAACGGTGAGTGGTGGTGCTGGGATGATGAGGTGGTGCTGCTGGATAGTGAGTGGTGCTGCTGGTGGTGAGTGGTGCTGCTAGATTGTGAGTGGTTCTGCTGAACGTGTGAGTGGGGTGCTGGATGATGAGCGGTTGCTGCTGGATGGTGAGTGGTGTGCTGGATGGTGAGTGGTGCTGCTAGATGGTGAGTGGTTCTGCTGAACGGTGAGTGGTGGTGCTGGATTGATGAGCGGTGCTGCTGGATGGTGAGTGGTCCTGCTGAACGGTGAGTGGTGGTGCTGCTGGATGGTGAGTGGTGCTGCTGGATGGTGAGTGGTCCTGCTGAACGGTGAGTGGTGTCTGCTGGATGGTGAGTGGTGCTGTTGGATGGTGAGTGTTGCTGCTGATGTGAGTGGTGCTGCTGAAACGTGAGTGTGGTGCTGGATGATGAGCGGTGCTGCTGGATGGTGAGTGGTCTGCTGAACGGTGAGTGGTGGTGCTGGATGATGAGCGGTGCTGCTGGATGGTGAGTGGTCCTGCTGGATGATGAGGGGTGCTGCTGGATGGTGAGTGGTCCTGCTGAACGGTGAGATGGTGGTGCTGGATGATGAGCGGTGCTGCTGGATGGTGAGTGGTCCTGCTGAACGGTGAGTGGTGGTGCTGGATGATGAGCGGTGCTGCTGGATGGTGAGTGGTGCTGCTGGATGATGAGCGTGCTGCTGGATGTGAGTGGTCCTGCTGACGGTGAGTGGTGGTGCTGGATGATGAGCGGTGCTGCTGGATGGTGAGTGTTGCTGCTGGATGGTGAGTGTCCTGCTGAACGGTGAGTGGTGGTGCGGATGATGAGCGGTGCTGCTGGATGGTGAGTGTTGCTGCTGGATGGTGAGTGGTCCTGCTGAACGGTGAGTGGTGGTGCTGGATATGACGGTGCTGCTGGATGGTGAGTGGTGCTGCTGGATGATGACGGTGCTGCTGAAGGTGAGTGTCCTGCTGAACGGTGAGTGGTGGTGCTGGATGATGAGCGGTGCTGCTGGATGGTGAGTGTTGCTGCTGGATGGTGAGTGGTCCTGCTGAACGATGAGTGGTGGTGCTGGATGATGAGCGGTGCTGCTGGATGGTGAGTGGTCCTGCTGAACGGTGAGTGGTGGTGCTGGATGATGAGCGGTGCTGCTGGATAGTGAGTGGTGCTGCTGGATGGTGAGTGGTGCTGCTAGATTGTGAGTGGTTCTGCTGAACGGTGAGTGGTGGTGCTGGATGATGAGCGGTGCTGCTGGATGGTGAGTGGTGGTGCTGGATGGTGAGTGGTGCTGCTAGATGGTGAGTGGTTCTGCTGAACGGTGAGTGGTGGTGCTGGATGATGAGCGGTGCTGCTGGATGGTGAGTGGTCCTGCTGAACGGTGAGTGGTGGTGCTGCTGGATGGTGAGTGGTGCTGCTGGATGGTGAGTGGTCCTGCTGAACGGTGAGTGGTGGTGCTGCTGGATGGTGAGTGGTGCTGTTGGATGGTGAGTGGTCCTGCTGAACGGTGAGTGGTGGTGCTGGATGGTGAGTGGTGCTGCTGGATGGTGAGTGGTCCTGCTGAACGGTGGAGTGGTGTGCTGCTGGATGGTGAGTGGTGCTGTTGGATGGTGAGTGGTCCTGCTGAACGGTGAGTGGTGGTGCTGGATGGTGAGTGGTGCTGCTGGATGGTGAGTGGTCCTGCTGAACGGTGAGTGGTGGTGCTGGATGATGAGCGGTGCTGTTGGATGGTGAGTGGTGGTGCTGAATGGTGAGTGGTGGTGCTGCATGATGAGCGGGGCTGCTGGATGGTGAGTGTCCTGCTGAACGGTGAGTGTGTGCTGGATGATGAGCGGTGCTGCTGGATGGTGAGTGTTGCTGCTGGATGGTGAGTGGTCCTGCTGAACGGTGAGTGATGGTGCTGGATGATGAGCGGTGCTGCTGGATGGTGAGTGTTGCTGCTGGATGGTGAGTGATCCTGCTGAACGGTGAGTGGTGGTGCTGCTGGATGGAGTGGTGCTGTTGATGGTGAGTGGTCCTGCTGAATGGTGAGTGGTGGTGCTGGATGATGAGCGGTGCTGCTGGATGGTGAGTGTTGCTGCTGGATGGTGAGTGGTTCTGTTGAACGGTGAGTGGTGGTGCTGGATGATGAGCGGTACTGCTGGATGGTGAGTGGTCCTGCTGAACGGTGAGTGGTGGTGCTGGATGATGAGCGGTGCTGCTGGATGGTGAGTGTTGCTGCTGGATGGTGAGTGTCCTGCCTGAACGGTGAGTGGTGGTGCTGGATGATGAGCGTTGCTGCTGGATGGTGAGTGGTCCTGCTGAACGGTGAGTGGTGGTGCTGGATGATGAGCGGTGCTGCTGGATGGTGAGTGGTGGTGCTGGATGGTGAGTGGTGGTGCTGGATGGTGAGTGGTCCTGCTGAACGGTGAGTGGTGGTGCTGGATGGTGAGTGGTGCTGCTGGATGGTGAGTGGTCCTGCTCAACGGTGAGTGGTGGTGCTGGATGGTGAGTGGTGCTGCTGAATGGTGAGTGGTTCTGCTGAACGGTGAGTGGTGGTGCTGGATGGTGAGTGGTGCTGCTGGTTCGTGAGTGGAGGTGCTGGATGGTGAGTGGTGCTGCTGGATGGTGAGTGGTCCTGCTGAACGGTGAGTGGTGGTGCTGGATGGTGAGTGGTTCTGCTGGTTCGTGAGTGGTGGTGCTGGATGGTGAGTGTTGCTGCTGGATGGTGAGTGGTCCTGCTGAACGGTGAGTGGTGGTGCTGGATGGTGAGTGGTACTGCTGGATGGTGAGTGGTCCTGCTGAATGGTGAGTGGTGGTGCTGGATGGTGAGTGGTGCTGCTGGATGGTGAGTGGTTCTGCTGGTTCGCGAGTGGTGGTGCTGGATGGTGAGTGTTCTTGCTGGATGGTGAGTGGTCCTGCTGAATGGTGAGTGGTCCTCCTGGATGGTGAGTGGTGCTGCTGGATGGTGAGTGGACCTCCAGAACGGTGAGAGGTGGTGCTGGATGGTGAGTGGTCCTGCTGGATGGTGAGTGGTTCTGCTGGATGGTGAGTGGTCCTGCTGAACGGTGAGTGGTTCTGCTAGATGGTGAGTGGTCCTGCTGGATGGTGAGTGGTCCTGCTGGATGGTGAGTGGTTCTGCTGGATGGTGAGTGGTTCTCCTGGATGGTGAGTGGTTCTCCTGGATGGTGAGTGGTCCTGCTGGATGGTAAGTGGTCCTGCTGGATGGTGAGTGGTCCTGTTGGATAGTGAGTGGTGCTGCTGGATGGTGAGTGGTTTTGCTGGATGGTGAGGGGGGCTGCTGGATGGTGAGTGGCAATGCTGGATGTTGAGTAGTCCTGCTGGATGGTGAGTAGTTCTGCTGAATGGTGAGTGGTCCTGCTGGATGGTGAGTGGTGCTGCTGGATGGTGAGTGGTCCTGCTGGATGGTGAGTGGTCCTGATGGATGGTGAGTGGTTCTGCTGGATGGTGAGT